ACAAGGCTGGTGAGGGGCTTGGAACACAAGCCCTATGAGGAACGACTGAGGGACCTGGGGTTGTTTAGCCGGGAGAAAAGAAGACTCAGAGGTGACCTTATGGCTCTCTACAACTTCCTGAAAGGTGGTTGTAGTCAGGTGGGGGTCGGTCTCTTTCTCCAGGCAACAAATGTCATGAACGAGAGGACACAGTCTCAAGCTGCGACAGGGGAAATATCGGTTGGATATTTGGAAGAAGCTTTTCACAGAAAGAGTGATACAATATTGGAATGGCCTGCCTGGGGAGGTGGTGGAGTCACCATCCCCGGATGTGTTCAACAAAAGACTGGATATGGCACTTGGTGCCGTGGTTTAGTTAAGGCGTTTGGGGCATGGGTTGGACTTGATGATCTTGAAGGTCTCTTCCAACCTAGTGATTCTGTGATTCTGTAAGCATGGTGTAGACAGTGCAAGCCAAATAGAGAAAACTTAGCAGAACTAACAAGAAGATCATGCTGTCCTTAACATCTAGAGGGAACTCAACATTCTCAAAAACTGTTGCAGCAGGCCTGAAGGGCTGGAAAAAAACATTCTCCCCTCCTCACCCCACAGGCTTGATGCCTTATAGTTTTCAAATCCTGTACTGCATTAGTGCATAACTCTGAACTCCATATAAAGTGTTAGCTAACTGTCTCCACATTTTAGTCAGACAAAACAATCCCTCTAGGTCTGAGATCCAAGGACACCCTACTGCCTCAGGCCCCGGAAAGTATAAACAAAAGTGAATTGGGGGAGGGGAGCAAACTGGGGGCATATGACTTCACTGCCTGAGGCTGTAATTGGAGGAATAACCCCTGACATGTAAATGGACCAAACTTATATCTGTCTGAAAAACGCGTGACCATCGTCCATCTTGGGTGTAGCCTCTGAGGCTTCTGACTGCCCAAGGTGTACCTTTTGAAGGCCTTTAATAAATAGCTACTTTTATTCTCTTAACCTTGTCTAGCCTCTGTTCCAGGTAGCCACTCTAAGGCATCAGGCTGGGTGCCATTATTAATGAGGCCCCAGAGGTAGCAGCCCAGACTAGGACAGGCAAACAAGACTGAATACACATTCCAAATGAAACTCGTTGCCTCTGCTGTTATCATGCCATAAACGCAGTAAATCAGCAAAGCTGTTTTGATTCCTCTCCTGATCGTAAAGAGAGCATCATGATGGGCAAATACCTCCCCCTATGCAGAAATATGTACAGGGCACAACATGCACGTGAATACACCGAGAAACACGACGATCAGGAAAATTGCTATACCCCAATACACAAATGCTTTAGAACAAAACTGCAATTCCGACCTCTCTCGAGCCGCACGTTGGGCGCCAAAAGATGTGCCGGTTTAAAAGTAAACCGGCAGGAGAAATGAATCCCATTCAACTACCTCCAGAGAGATTACAGGTCGGAGTTACAATTTACTAGAGATTACAAAAAATACAATGATACAGAGAAAACTGGTTTTAACCCACAAAGTCGGAGTATAAATTGGCACACTCTTTGTAAGGTGAGGGGCACAGTACTGTCGAAATTCTGGTCTTCCTCCGGATCCATCAAATGGTGGTGCACCAAGTCCCCAAACCCAAAGATTATATATATATATGCTCCGGTTCAGGTGAGAATGCTCAGTACCTCCACCAGGACAGGGAGTTTCACAGTGGAGGAATGTAATACTGTGAGTCATGGGATATTCTGAGAGTCTTTGATGGTCTAAGTCCTTGCAGCTGCCTATTATCCTAGTGCCATGGAGTCCATTATGGCCCGTTAGCAAAGATGACACCACCCCTCCCCCACCACGGGGTGGGTGGGAATGTGCTGGTGCTTCCCCAGAGGAGAGTTATCAGGACTGAGTCATTTGCGTGAAGAAAAAAAACACTACCTTGCCTCTGAAGGTTTGCCTCTTCTCCCTTATCTCATTTAACACCCATCTTGTAGCCTGAGGTGTTGGGTGTACAGGAGGCAGCTACGGCAAGTGATCCATCATCAGCAGTTCATCAGGAATGACACAGAGGCTGGTACAATACAGTTTGCTTACATGCACATAGTGCTAAACTGGCACCCTACTCCTGTTACCAGGACACCCAGGTCCAACAGGTGGTGGATGCTTCCAAACACAGTGCACCATGGTGAAACCACCCTTGGAAAGCATGCGTGTAGCCTCACACGCAGCATCTTCTACAGTTTTAGCAGAAGCCTACACGGCCTTTCTGTACGTTGGCGTACCACTGCCAAAGAGCTAAGACTTTGCTTCCTACAAGACCCAGAGAGACTGCTAAGCGCTTCCAGCTTCACAGAAACAGGCCAATCACTATCTATCTATCTATCTCTGAAATGCTGTTATCTGGCTGAAACATTCCACATACTTGCAATTCCAGGGAGACACCTTCTGAACTTGCAGAACTACTTCCCCTCAGTAAGATGCGCAAGACGGAGGTGATATCCCCATGACAAATCTTTATTGTGCAACTGCTGCTCAAAGCTTTTATTACCTTCCACAGACACAAGGCAAAAAAAAAAAAAACATTACACATCAAAAGCCGCTAGATTGATGGGCAACAGACGAAATCCATTCAGTGGCGATTTGTACGCGTGCAGCAACTCCTGCGGTGCCAAAATCTTAGCCAGGTGGCCAGCCCACCTGATGGCCACCCAGAACGGGTAGATGTATGCGACAGACAGACTGCCCACCCTCGGGCCCTTCATCCACAACCATCCGGAATCCATTGGTCAGGCCCAGGTGAGCAACACACATCTCGCCAACAATCATTACATGCCCAAGAAGCTGGAGAAGGAAGTACAAACCCATAAATAAGTAAAATAAACAGAAAAAGGAACACATAAAGAGGGCAGAGGGCAGGAAGGGAAGGAACGAGAGCAGAGAACCACCCAGAGAAAGCAGCTAGCCAATTCCTAGCAATTCAACCATTGCATGCCAAATTAACGGCACTCCGACCGCCGGCAACTGAAGCGTTCCAAGCAAAGTTACCAAGACCAATTATGCACGCCATAGGGGCAAAAGAGAGCTAGGCAATTTTTCCCAAGCTAAACAGCAAAGGACTACAAAACAGCCACACGAGCTGACTTTGTCTCCGGGTTAAAGCCCCCGTTGTCTCTTCAGGAAACATAACCAATCCTGGTGGAAAATAAACTTTAGGCTGCCTTTTGCGTGGGTTTACAAAGTCTTTGAACGTGGCTTTCATAGCTAAAAGCAAAACGCCCAGCACCGCTCCACCAGCTTTGCCCTTCCTTGCCCCTGGCCTGCCAAAAACCCCAAGTGCTCTTCTGCATGTTAGAAGTTCTACTACTCTTACTCTAAACCACGACAATAGGCACCACACTGCGCTCCAAAACAACACTGCATTTTGCACCAGAACTACATACCCAGGGACCAGCACTGCTTGATAGCACTGCTTTTAGTCAAAAAGCTCAACTCCATTACAAGCTAGAGGCAAAAACATGATAGCGCCAGAAAACCCAAAGTAGCCTACTGTGCCCTATCAAGGGGGAAAGGGGGCAATGGGAAAGAGTCTAGTAAACGAGGAACTATCTACAGGTACAGTTTAGCATACAGAAAGCTCCCACCGTACTTACAGATTCACCAGAACCTCCTGCTTCAGACAACTCGATAATTGGCTCCTTAGGCATGACTTAGGAAAAATGTCCTGTCTAGGGGCAAAAGATCATGGAACGTACGGCACTGGAGGAAGATTAAACAGTTAAAACATAACCAGCTTTAGAGAAAGGTAAGAGCTTATGCAAACCCATCTGCCCCGCTGAACTCCTACAGAAGCAGATTACCAGATTACCCCAAACACAAGCCAGAACATTGATTTTTCTTGCATGATTATAATGCTTTCTATACCCAAAACACGACATCTTTACAGAGCCCCCTCCAGAAGTGGGATTTGTCATGCAAGACAATGGGGGAAGGAGACAGACCACTACTTGCAATGAACAACCTCCGGCATGTTTTAGTTCGGGCTGATTGTTTCCTAAGCAGTTTTTCTATTGGATGTGGTCCATGCAGAGACTGGAGACAAATGGCTTAACTGAATCATCAAAGAGTTTAGTGAAGTGGAAGAGCAGCGGCCATTCGTTTCCCACAGGACAGGGAGCTCAAGTATGGAACACACGCATAATGACAGGAAGCCTGCAAGTGCATAGGACGAGTCTGTCTTCTATTACTGCATGCAAGCTCTGCCTTTAAAAGCAGAAGGCATCCCTAACTGTTAACTTTCAGCATCTTAATAACTAAGTCATAGGGGATATTACCTTAAAGTTAACATCGCATAGGCAACGGCTGTTATTGGTTTCCCCCCGGGCTAAGCAGCTCACTCTAGTTTCCAGCACCAACACGCGTGACCCTTGCAAGCATGCTGTTATTACGGTCTTACTTCCCCACAGAAACAAGTTCTGGAAAGCCGTTGCAGCCTGCAGGATGACCACTCTGTAGTTTGGTTTGGTTTGGTTTTGTTTTTAACTAGAGAAAGCCGTAATTCCTTGCCCTAATAATCCAGTTTGCGGGTTCAGAACCAAAGCCTAGCACAGCGAAGCTGCGAAACCTCTTCGATGCTGTTAGGAGACACATTGAGGCCAAGTTACCGTCAGAGGTCCCTCTCTACGCGCGCACACGACACGGTGGGGGTGGAATATGCGAGGCGAGACCGGACAACACCAGCAACCCAGTACGCCCGCGGCAGCCGGAGGGGTGGGGGTGCGGCTCAGAACAAGCTTAGGGGATGGTGCAGTAGAGAGCGCCACAACCCAGAGAGGCCCCGTCCGTCCCCCGTCCCTGCACCCAGCCGCAGCAGCACCCTGCCGCGCGCCCGGGCACCACGCGCCGGGTCCTCGGCTCAGATGCCCGCAAGCGCGGGAGGAGGGGGAGAGGGGGGAAAGGGAAGAGGAACCGCGCACAGAGCAAGGGTGCGGCTACCTCCTCGTCCTCGGCGCTGACGGCACCAGAGAAACGCCTTACCGATAATCTTTCCGAAGACAGTAGTGGCGCCACCAGGGCCAGAGACCAGCGCCCCCACACTCTCGCCAGCCAAGGACAACGCCCGTGTCCGCCCCGACCACTTCCTCCACTAAGCCGGGCCCTCCGCGGCGCCCATTGGGCCGACGGATCGTGGCCCGCGTCTCGATTTGCTGTCTCGCCTGTCGTTTTCGCTTTTCCCCGCCCCCTTGGCGGGTCCGCCCTCGTCGACCTGGTGCCCGCGGGGCGCGGAGGGATCTGCCCCGTGTAGTGCTGCGACCCCGAGGGCGGGCTACGAGGTCGCAGAAGAGGCTGTAGTAGCTACAAGTACTGTTTCTTGTTTTTTGTTACCGCATCGAGTCCACCCCAAAGGTGCCCGTGCCTTTTTGCTGCTGCTCCCTCCAGTCCAACGACTGCTTTGGCCAGGGCAGGCCTGCCTTTAACTTCTCAGGACATTTTGAAAAAACAACCGAAGTTGCTCTACATTGTTTGCTGAAAGCCCCACTTCCATTGCAGACATTTCTAAGCTGCACGTCTCCTGGAAGCAAATAAAATGCAAAGCGTGCGTTCGTCACTGCTGGCTTGAGGGCTCAGGAGAGTAGGATTTGCGTTAAGCTGGATAGGAGGCTTTTAGAAAAGTAGGCAGTGCCCTCAAAGCTGCCCAAGGGTGGTCTGTGGTGCCCTGCACCCCTGGGGACAGTGAGCACCTTGAATGGTCCACACAACTGTCTTGTAACATATATGAACCCTGCTTTCCTCTATAACAGGCTAAGGATATCCTTGGCCGCCTTTGAGGCAAGAGCACATTGTCCTATTTTGCAAAGCTGCTTTCCAGCCAATCGGCCTCCAGCATGTACTGGTGCATGGGGTTGTGCCTCCCCAGGTGCAGGACTTGTGTATCCACAGGTTCCTCGGGTGGTCTCAAAAGAGACCATTGTTTCCTATGTTGGAAGGGACTTTGTTCCCCAAGTCCCTGCCTTGAGGTTCAGGGTCTCAAGAGGTCTGGTAACCGTGCCAGTGAAAACAGAGGAAAATGAATCGCCGAGTACCACAGCCTTCTCCATGTTGCTGGCCACTAGACCTCCTGGCGTTTTTTATCAGCAGGGGGACGGGCACGTGGGTTGCATACGCTTTCTTTAGTCTTATTTTCTGACCAACGCACCCATGGAAGCCCATCGTATGATTCTTTACATCCCCTGCCAAATTCAGCTGCAGCTTTGCCTTAGTTTTTCTGATGCCATCCCTACAGACCTGGGCGGCATCTTTAGATTCTTCCCAGAATACGTGTCCCTGCTTCCACTACCTATGCATTTCCACTTTGTGCTTCAGCTCGAGCAGAAGAGAAGGCCGTTAGCCACGCTCATCTCCTGCCTAACTTGCCTGATTTCTTACGTCGACCTCATCCTCTTAATCAGGTGGCCTATAGTAGATACCAACCACAAGGTTTCCTTTGTTAGCTTGTGTGGGATGATGACCATGGAGCCAGGAAAGCGTTAAAGCCTAAACCGTGTACCCTCCACGTTATCTTTACTGATGGACATCCACATAGCTGAGGTCAAAAAAGGACAATATGGCCGAAGGAAGAGTTCATGGGCAGCTAGGATAGCCCTCTTTTGGCTCTGATGAACGGCATGAAATGGAAAGAAGTCTTAAGAGCGGAACTTTGAAGGACACCAAGGCCAAAAATGTAACCTTTGCCTGATTAAGGGTCATTTAAGTATTAAAACGCACACTCGTGCATATGCTAATAAGCTTACTGAAGTACATGTGACCACATAGATGATCTATCACTCAGCTCTCCGCTTAGATCACGCTATATGTAATGTAAGGAGGAGAAGATTGGGCTGTATATAAGGAGGCTAGAAATTTCAGCTAGGTAGCAGGAATTCCCAAAAGATGTCGGGGACAGTTGCCAGTCTCTTCTCTTCTCTTCTCCTCCTCCCAAGTGGGGCCGCCCTCTTGGGAAGCTTCTGCATGCCATTGCTATTATTAGTATTGCATGGGTTAGCACAATGTTATTAGAGGTCTATCACAGCTAGTGCATTTCTCAATGGCAGTTCCAAATCTCCATTTCTGTAACTTCAGAAAACCACTCTGTTCCTGAATCTGTGCTCGCAAAGGTTCTTAGAGAACGCAACCAGACTTACAGTGCTGAATTGGTTGTAATCGGAAATTAAGCCTAACCTCACCCAGTCCCTCTGATCTCTCAGGACCAGCTGGAACGCAAGGGGCTTTATTTTCTGCACTCTTTCTTACTCCTAACGCAACAGCTTGGCCTCTAATTTTCACCCATAAGCTCTCAACCTGTTCATCACTGTCTTTCAAAGACAGCTCTGTACAGGAAATCCCTCTCATTTTTGGTTTACATAGAGGGCCACCTCCGCCCCTCCTTCCTTCTGACCAGTTTATAGCCATTGATTGCAGAGCTCCAGTCATTTGAGTTGTCCCAGCACATTTCTACTATGGTGATTACATTGTTAGCTTTCCGGCTGCACAGTGGTTTCCAGCTCCTCTTTCTTATGCATACTGCGTGCATTGGTACAGAGGCACTTCCGCTGGGCTGTTGACTGCGTCACTTTTTTGGACAAGGATCAAGCCCCAATTCCTTTGCAGCATTTCTCAAGTATTCCCCTCTTGTTTCCCAACACATCACCAGCCCCTGGCTCTTCTCTGTTGCTCAAAACTCCATCGTCTTTCCCCGCCGAGTCACCTTTAAAGCCCTCCTTGTAAGTCTAACCGGCTTACTGGCAAAGACCATCTTGCCCCGCTTGGTCGCGTGAATCCCATCAGCTCCCAACAGACCTGGCTTCTTAAAGGTAGATCCATGATCATAGAAGCCAAAACCTTGAGTATGGCACCAGCTACGCAGCCCGGCATTCAGCTGTTCAGTCTGTCTCCTCCTTCCTGGACCCCTTCCTCAGACCGGACACCAATAGAGGCGACCATCACCTGTGCTCCCCATCCTTTTAGCATCGCTCCTACAGACATAATAGACTCCTGGGGGGGTTCTAAGTTGCCTTATCTGACGCTACAGAGAAGAGTAGGAGAGGTGATAATCTGTAGGGTTCACCAGCCTCAGCAGCCTCTCAGTGCCACCATGAATGCGAGCTCCTGGTAGGCAGCAGAGCTCTCTAGAGAAATCGTCTGGGTGGGAAATGGGTGTCTCGGTGTTTCTCGGGAGGAAATCTCCAGTTACTAATACCTTTATGTGCTTCTCTGGTCGCACTGGTTCTAACGTGGGCAGGTGGTTAGGTCAGCTTTGCATGGTTGCCTTTGTCCTGGCTCCTGTCCATTACTCATGTGCTCTTCAGTCTCCAAACCAGGAGCATACTGTCTGTTATGTAGGGGCACTTCAGGAGATGGGGGAGGGTTCTTCCTTCTACCCTGAGCACAGAAATGCATCTGGTCTCCTTCATCTCAGGAGTCACTTGTGTCAGTCACCCCGAGGTTACATTCTGGCTTACCTTCCTTTTGTGCACTCTGAAGGCAGGCCGTCGCTCAGCCTGGGACAGCGTACAATACCTGGCATTGAACTCCTGTCCGTGTACCTGGATTCCCTGCTTCCTGTCAATCTCCTCCTTTAAAACTTACTCGTCCAAGGAGATCTTTCTGCTGGGCACACTTGCAGCTATGACATCCACCGCTGCCTTCGGGTTCTAAGGGGGACTTCCAGGGACTGGACCTCTTGCCCTGCCCTTTGTTCATTGACCCTGTCCATCACTCCCGCACAGGGCTGCTGATTAGTCTCTGCCTCTCCCTCCTCGCACCCTCACTGTGGCAGCAGCTCTCTGGCCACAGAGAGCAACACATAACTTTCCCAGGCCTTTCTGAGGAAGGCTGTGAGAAGATCAGAGAAAAGAATGAGGAACAATTCTTATCTTCACTTGCTGCACCTGTTGTTGTGAACATGTGGAATGTGTTATGGAGATTTGTTTACCAAAGGGTGGTTTCTTAATTAGCCAATGGTGATGGTGTTTGGATTGGAGGACCAATTAGGTCCAGGTGTATCGTAACTGTCTATAAAAGCAACGGGTTTCCTAATAATTATATATATATAAAATAAAGAGATTGATCAGCCTTCTGTGAATCATGGAGTCAATGCTAATTATTACCAGTTCGGGGACGCCCTGCCGCGACACCTCGCTTTTAGTTTAAAGCCCTCCAAATGAGGTCAGCTGTCCTACTGGCAAAAATACCTTTACTCCGCTTAGTGAGGTGGAGCTCCGCTCTCCCAAGCAGTTGCTGATCCAAAAACAGGGCCCCATGCTCATCGAACCCAGAACGCTGTTGCAAGCACCAGCTCCGCAGCCAATTCAGTGCCCTTATCCTACAACACCTGGACGGCATCAAAAGCATTGCTGGTGGGTTGACCTTGGCTGGATGCCAGGTGCCCACAGAGCCACTCTATCACTCCCCCTTCTCAGCTTGACACAGAGAGAAAATAAGATGGAAAACAACTCACAGGGTGAGATAAGGCAGTTTACTAAAGGAAAAGAGAAAGTTTTCGCACAAAAAAGCAAACAGGAAAACCAAATAATTATATCCTCTAGTTCCCATCAGCAAGCACTGTCCGACCACTTTCCAAGAAGCAGGGCTTCAGCACGCGTAAGGGTTGCTCCGAAAGGCAAACGTTGTAAATAACGAATGTGCCCCCTTCCCCCTCCTTAACTTAGCTTTTATTTCTGAGCTGAAGTCATATGGTACAGCATAGCCCTCTGGCCAGTTTGGGTCACCTGGTCTAGTGGTGTCTCCTCCCAGGATCTTGCCCACCCCCAGCCTACTGATGAGGGACAGAATGTTGGAGAGACAGCGCTGATGCTGTGCCAACACTGCCCAGCAGTACCCAAAACACTGGCGTGTTATCAACACCTTTCTAGTGACCAATGCAAAGCATGGCACTGATGGCCGCTATGCGGAAAACTAACTCCATCTCAGCCACACCCAATACAATCTCCACCCCTTACTTCACACCATTTGCATCATCGTACTCAGATGCCACAGAATTATAGATATATATATATATATATATCTGTCTTCTAATTATTCCGTTGTATTTATTTGTCATGACTGAAATCCCTTCTTACCAACGCTTACAACTTAAACTCCATGCTTAAACCATCTTTATGCCCAACACACGTATACATTTTCATTAACTACCGTCCCACTTCCTTTCAAAGATAGACATTAGTTTCCCATTCCATGG